TGTCTGAGTAACATTTGCTAAAAACTACAGTGACCAGTTGTTTTAGGAAATCACTGACCCTTTTTTAAAAATGAAACTATATTTTTTGCAAGCTGTTTTTAAAGATTTGGGTTTTCAGTATGAGAACCAATGGGCTTAGGGCTGAGAGCAAATACAATAATGATCTGATTGAGAGACAGACAGGTTGTTGATATGGTCTTTTCATGGGACTTGTAATAACATAACACCACTCTTGTTTGGTTAGTATTAACTGTATGTTTCAGCTAAACTAACCTGGTTCTACACCTCTGAATCAACACCACATTTCAGATTTGCTCAATAATCAAAATATAATAAATAAATAAAATAAAAGTGAAACGAAAAGGCAGTTCAGTCTGATTATCAGGCTAAGATTGACTAAAACTGTTGTCTGATTAAATGTTTACTTATGTCAAAAATACTGCCATCCATGGTGGACATTCAATGAAAAACCATCCACAAAACTTGTTGCTATGGCAGCTGCAAGCACTGACACATTGACACATTGCAGCTTTCAGTGGGAAAAGTTGTCCTCCTTTTTTCACAAATTAGATGAATGTTTCTATTTTACAGAATTAGATGAAGCTAAGTCAGTCTGATATTTGGCTCTGTGTCAGTGTTGTCCACTGCCACTTGCCAGTGCAAAGACAGTAGTCTGGAGAAGCGTGGCTGATGGTATAGTGACAAACAGGTCTACACTCGGAAGACATGAAAGAAGACAGAAAGAGAGAAGGAGTGTATCATTTGGCATCGTTGTGCAATGATGATTGATGTAGTGTAGTAGGAACAAGGGGGCACTTTCCCCAGAGTAGCTGGCTGAAAAGCGCTCATCACAGAATGGAAAAAAAGTCTCTCTTCGTCTCCATAGCCACAGGATCCTCTTGAGTGCCACTCAGTCTGTGAGGTGTAAAAAATTGTCTTTGTCCTCTGACAGCTGTGAGTATTTTTTTATGTGTGCGAACAACAGTCTGTATATCGATCATATCTTAAATAAATTACATTTCTGAAATAACCTGCTCTTCTTCAGAGAGGGGGAAAATAACTGTCTATCTGTCAGACTGAGTAGACAAATAAAAGTGTCCCTAAAATGTCTAATTCAAAGCATGTCTTTATATAGTACTGGTCATTGCTTCTTAAATATATATCTCAGAGAAAAGATTTTGTGTGTGTTTTCTCTCTAGAACACAGTTATGTACATGTGAATGATATAATAAATAAAACATCCAAGACAAAAAATAATATTGTTCAAGGTTTGTATTGTCTGTTTCCAATGCTAGGATCATCCTTCAAACATGTTATACACAGTCTATGCATATTTGACAACTACATAAGCTTCAGGCTACACGTGCATAATAGACCATCATAACTACAGTATGTTTTATATTGTATCTAGATAATTCTACTTCACAGAAACATGCAACATATTGACATGACAGGTAGTCAATAATAAAACTACATACACTCTCCAAAATCTAGTTTTAGTAACCCAAGCTGTCCATCTATGCACTTGCATCCTAGGGAGAGGTCTGCTCTTCTTAAAAGCAACAAGCAAGGAGCTGTGTTGTTTAAAAGAAGTGTCCATTTAAATGTCTCATACTGCCAGTGAACAGCCCAGTGCAAGTTCATTTAAACCCGCAAAGACATCTTTAATCACATATGTTTTTTAAGACTCTATTGTGGCTCAAAACTAGTGGTAATTACTGGAGGATTTGCTATCCCTGGATCAATACTTCCAGTTTTCACAACAGGACATGCATTTATGGGAATGCATTTGTGACTACAGATGGGTTTGACTCGATGCCTGCACAATAGTAATTACCAGCACAGAGGAAGTCTTTTGTCACCATAAAGCCCTCACTGAAAAAAAGACTTAACCGGCCTTTACTGAAGACATAAAAGGGACTGTAATTCCAGTCAGTCCAATTAAATGACACTACAATAAAAATGTTACAAGGCAGTTTCATTTTAAATAAACTATTTGATTAGAAAAATACACAACTATACCAAATCTTATCTTGATCGCTCACTGTGAAATGGTATTTCCTGGTTCACTTTGAAGGATTTTGTGGTGAGAGGCAGAGAACATGCAGCTTTTCATTCGTGTGACAAATTTTAAGTTGACTCCAATTGTATCTGTAAAGACTCTCCAGGTCAGCTGCACACAGGGTGTGAAATAGAGTCAAGCAGTCTTCAACATGAAAAGAGTTTGAAAGATGAAAGAGGGCCAATAACAGCAGAGGTAAATGAATAGAAGGAAGTTTTGATGACCTCAGGCTGGAGAAGTGAATTTTGATTTATTGCTGTTAAATTGCGTGCTGGCACACAGATGTGCTGTGAAAGTCTAAACAGCTGGACACTATTCTTATTAGACCCATATTATTTTTAGCATCTCTATGTCTCTTTCAGATCTCTTTCTAAGTCAACCTTCCTAGCCCCCCTCCCTCGCCCTACTTCTTTCCTCCTTCCTAAATAAGCTTGAGTCCTCTTGTCTCTGTCTCTCTGGTCAGAGGATGCTGACCCTCTCAGTGAGGCCTTGCACATCAGCATCCTCCCTGCCCTCCTCATCGTCAGAGGCCGGCGCAGCAGGAGGAGGCACAAGATGAGCAGGGTAAGGCAGAGTATGTTCACGGGCAAACATTTGCCAGCGGCTGTCATCACTCTCGTGGGTGATGTAACGCCCGCCGAGTTTGGTTTCCAGCTCTCGTAGGTCTAGCCATGTCTGATAGTCCTGGCAAACAAACAGGAATAAACACAGGGATACAGTTTCAGTTTTAGGAGCTGTGTGTGTGTGTGTGTGTGTGTGTGTGTGTGTGTGTGTGAAATGTAAACTCTTGGATGTGTG